CCCCCCCCCCCCCCCCCCCCCCCCCCCCCCCCCCCCCCCCCCCCCCCCCCCCCCCCCCCCCCCCCCCCCCCCCCCCCCCCCCCCCCCCCCCCCCCCCCCCCCCCCCCCCCCCCCCCCCCCCCCCCCCCCCTCCCCCCCCCCCCCCCCCCCCCCCCCCCCCCCCCCCCCCCCCCCCCCCCCCCCCCCCCCCCCCCCCCCCCCCCCCCCCCCCCCCCCCCCCCCCCCCCCCCCCCCCCCCCCCCCCCCCCCCCCCCCCCCCCCCCCCCCCCCCCCCCCCCCCCCCCCCCCCCCCCCCCCCCCCCCCCCCCCCCCCCCCCCCCCCCCCCCCCCCCCCCCCCCCCCCCCCCCCCCCCCCCCCCCCCCCCCCCCCCCCCCCCCCCCCCCCCCCCCCCCCCCCCCCCCCCCCCCCCCCCCCCCCCCCCCCCCCCCCCCCCCCCCCCCCCCCCCCCCCCCTCCCCCCCCCCCCTCCCCCCCCCCCCCCCCCCCCCCCCCCCCCCCCCCCCCCCCCCCCCCCCCCCCCCCCCCCCCCCCCCCCCCCCCCCCCCCCCCCCCCCCCCCCCCCCCCCCCCCCCCCCCCCCCCCCCCCCCCCCCCCCCCCCCCCCCCCCCCCCCCCCCCCCCCCCCCCCCCCCCCCCCCCCCCCCCCCCCCCCCCCCCCCCCCCCCCCCCCCCCCCCCCCCCCCCCCCCCCCCCCCCCCCCCCCCCCCCCCCCCCCCCCCCCCCCCCCCCCCCCCCCCCCCCCCCCCCCCCCCCCCCCCCCCCCCCCCCCCCCCCCCCCCCCCCCCCCCCCCCCCCCCCCCCCCCCCCCCCCCCCCCCCCCCCCCCCCCCCCCCCCCCCCCCCCCCCCCCCCCCCCCCCCCCCCCCCCCCCCCCCCCCCCCCCCCCCCCCCCCCCCCCCCCCCCCCCCCCCCCCCCCCCCCCCCCCCCCCCCCCCCCCCCCCCCCCCCCCCCCCCCCCCCCCCCCCCCCCCCCCCCCCCCCTCCCCCCCCCCCCCCCCCCCCCCCCCCCCCCCCCCCCCCCCCCCCCCCCCCCCCCCCCCCCCCCCCCCCCCCCCCCCCCCCCCCCCCCCCCCCCCCCCCCCCCCCCCCCCCCCCCCCCCCCCCCCCCCCCCCCCCCCCCCCCCCCCCCCCCCCCCCCCCCCCCCCCCCCCCCCCCCCCCCCCCCCCCCCCCCCCCCCCCCCCCCCCCCCCCCCCCCCCCCCCCCCCCCCCCCCCCCCCCCCCCCCCCCCCCCCCCCCCCCCCCCCCCCCCCCCCCCCCCCCCCCCCCCCCCCCCCCCCCCCCCCCCCCCCCCCCCCCCCCCCCCCCCCCCCCCCCCCCCCCCCCCCCCCCCCCCCCCCCCCCCCCCCCCCCCCCCCCCCCCCCCCCCCCCCCCCCCCCCCCCCCCCCCCCCCCCCCCCCCCCCCCCCCCCCCCCCCCCCCCCCCCCCCCCCCCCCCCCCCCCCCCCCCCCCCCCCCCCCCCCCCCCCCCCCCCCCCCCCCCCCCCCCCCCCCCCCCCCCCCCCCCCCCCCCCCCCCCTCCCCCCCCCCCCCCCCCCCCCCCCCCCCCCCCCCCCCCCCCCCCCCCCCCCCCCCCCCCCCCCCCCCCCCCCCCCCCCCCCCCCCCCCCCCCCCCCCCCCCCCCCCCCCCCCCCCCCCCCCCCCCCCCCCCCCCCCCCCCCCCCCCCCCCCCCCCCCCCCCCCCCCCCCCCCCCCCCCCCCCCCCCCCCCCCCCCCCCCCCCCCCCCCCCCCCCCCCCCCCCCCCCCCCCCCCCCCCCCCCCCCCCCCCCCCCCCCCCCCCCCCCCCCCCCCCCCCCCCCCCCCCCCCCCCCCCCCCCCCCCCCCCCCCCCCCCCCCCCCCCCCCCCCCCCCCCCCCCCCCCCCCCTCCCCCCCCCCCCCCCCTCCCCCCCCCCCCCCCCCCCCCCCCCCCCCCCCCCCCCCCCCCCCCCCCCCCCCCCCCCCCCCCCCCCCCCCCCCCCCCCCCCCCCCCCCCCCCTCCCCCCCCCCCCCCCCCCCCCCCCCCCCCCCCCCCCCCCCCCCCCCCCCCCCCCCCCCCCCCCCCCCCCCCCCCCCCCCCCCCCCCCCCCCCCCCCCCCCCCCCCCCCCCCCCCCCCCCCCCCCCCCCCCCCCCCCCCCCCCCCCCCCCCCCCCCCCCCCCCCCCCCCCCCCCCCCCCCCCCCCCCCCCCCCCCCCCCCCCCCCCCCCCCCCCCCCCCCCCCCCCCCCCCCCCCCCCCCCCCCCCCCCCCCCCCCCCCCCCCCCCCCCCCCCCCCCCCCCCCCCCCCCCCCCCCCCCCCCCCCCCCCCCCCCCCCCCCCCCCCCCCCCCCCCCCCCCCCCCCCCCCCCCCCCCCCCCCCCCCCCCCCCCCCCCCCCCCCCCCCCCCCCCCCCCCCCCCCCCCCCCCCCCCCCCCCCCCCCCCCCCCCCCCCCCCCCCCCCCCCCCCCCCCCCCCCCCCCCCCCCCCCCCCCCCCCCCCCCCCCCCCCCCCCCCCCCCCCCCCCCCCCCCCCCCCCCCCCCCCCCCCCCCCCCCCCCCCCCCCCCCCCCCCCCCCCCCCCCCCCCCCCCCCCCCCCCCCCCCCCCCCCCCCCCCCCCCCCCCCCCCCCCCCCCCCCCCCCCCCCCCCCCCCCCCCCCCCCCCCCCCCCCCCCCCCCCCCCCCCCCCCCCCCCCCCCCCCCCCCCCCCCCCCCCCCCCCCCCCCCCCCCCCCCCCCCCCCCCCCCCCCCCCCCCCCCCCCCCCCCCCCCCCCCCCCCCCCCCCCCCCCCCCCCCCCCCCCCCCCCCCCCCCCCCCCCCCCCCCCCCCCCCCCCCCCCCCCCCCCCCCCCCCCCCCCCCCCCCCCCCCCCCCCCCCCCCCCCCCCCCCCCCCCCCCCCCCCCCCCCCCCCCCCCCCCCCCCCCCCCCCCCCCCCCCCCCCCCCCCCCCCCCCCCCCCCCCCCCCCCCCCCCCCCCCCCCCCCCCCCCCCCCCCCCCCCCCCCCCCCCCCCCCCCCCCCCCCCCCCCCCCCCCCCCCCCCCCCCCCCCCCCCCCCCCCCCCCCCCCCCCCCCCCCCCCCCCCCCCCCCCCCCCCCCCCCCCCCCCCCCCCCCCCCCCCCCCCCCCCCCCCCCCCCCCCCCCCCCCCCCCCCCCCCCCCCCCCCCCCCCCCCCCCCCCCCCCCCCCCCCCCCCCCCCCCCCCCCCCCCCCCCCCCCCCCCCCCCCCCCCCCCCCCCCCCCCCCCCCCCCCCCCCCCCCCCCCCCCCCCCCCCCCCCCCCCCCCCCCCCCCCCCCCCCCCCCCCCCCCCCCCCCCCCCCCCCCCCCCCCCCCCCCCCCCCCCCCCCCCCCCCCCCCCCCCCCCCCCCCCCCCCCCCCCCCCCCCCCCCCCCCCCCCCCCCCCCCCCCCCCCCCCCCCCCCCCCCCCCCCCCCCCCCCCCCCCCCCCCCTCCCCCCCCCCCCCCCCCCCCCCCCCCCCCCCCCCCCCCCCCCCCCCCCCCCCCCCCCCCCCCCCCCCCCCCCCCCCCCCCCCCCCCCCCCCCCCCCCCCCCCCCCCCCCCCCCCCCCCCCCCCCCCCCCCCCCCCCCCCCCCCCCCCCCCCCCCCCCCCCCCCCCCCCCCCCCCCCCCCCCCCCCCCCCCCCCCCCCCCCCCCCCCCCCCCCCCCCCCCCCCCCCCCCCCCCCCCCCCCCCCCCCCCCCCCCCCCCCCCCCCCCCCCCCCCCCCCCCCCCCCCCCCCCCCCCCCCCCCCCCCCCCCCCCCCCCCCCCCCCCCCCCCCCCCCCCCCCCCCCCCCCCCCCCCCCCCCCCCCCCCCCCCCCCCCCCCCCCCCCCCCCCCCCCCCCCCCCCCCCCCCCCCCCCCCCCCCCCCCCCCCCCCCCCCCCCCCCCCCCCCCCCCTCCCCCCCCCCCCCCCCCCCCCCCCCCCCCCCCCCCCCCCCCCCCCCCCCCCCCCCCCCCCCCCCCCCCCCCCCCCCCCCCCCCCCCCCCCCCCCCCCCCCCCCCCCCCCCCCCCCCCCCCCCCCCCCCCCCCCCCCCCCCCCCCCCCCCCCCCCCCCCCCCCCCCCCCCCCCCCCCCCCCCCCCCCCCCCCCCCCCCCCCCCCCCCCCCCCCCCCCCCCCCCCCCCCCCCCCCCCCCCCCCCCCCCCCCCCCCCCCCCCCCCCCCCCCCCCCCCCCCCCCCCCCCCCCCCCCCCCCCCCCCCCCCCCCCCCCCCCCCCCCCCCCCCCCCCCCCCCCCCCCCCCCCCCCCCCCCCCCCCCCCTCCCCCCCCCCCCCCCCCCCCCCCCCCCCCCCCCCCCCCCCCCCCCCCCCCCCCCCCCCCCCCCCCCCCCCCCCCCCCCCCCCCCCCCCCCCCCCCCCCCCCCCCCCCCCCCCCCCCCCCCCCCCCCCCCCCCCCCCCCCCCCCCCCCCCCCCCCCCCCCCCCCCCCCCCCCCCCCCCCCCCCCCCCCCCCCCCCCCCCCCCCCCCCCCCCCCCCCCCCCCCCCCCCCCCCCCCCCCCCCCCCCCCCCCCCCCCCCCCCCCCCCCCCCCCCCCCCCCCCCCCCCCCCCCCCCCCCCCCCCCCCCCCCCCCCCCCCCCCCCCCCCCCCCCCCCCCCCCCCCCCCCCCCCCCCCCCCCCCCCCCCCCCCCCCCCCCCCCCCCCCCCCCCCCCCCCCCCCCCCCCCCCCCCCCCCCCCCCCCCCCCCCCCCCCCCCCCCCCCCCCCCCCCCCCCCCCCCCCCCCCCCCCCCCCCCCCCCCCCCCCCCCCCCCCCCCCCCCCCCCCCCCCCCCCCCCCCCCCCCCCCCCCCCCCCCCCCCCTCCCCCCCCCCCCCCTCCCCCCCCCCCCCCCCCCCCCCCCCCCCCCCCCCCCCCCCCCCCCCCCCCCCCCCCCCCCCCCCCCCCCCCCCCCCCCCCCCCCCCCCCCCCCCCCCCCCCCCCCCCCCCCCCCCCCCCCCCCCCCCCCCCCCCCCCCCCCCCCCCCCCCCCCCCCCCCCCCCCCCCCCCCCCCCCCCCCCCCCCCCCCCCCCCCCCCCCCCCCCCCCCCCCCCCCCCCCCCCCCCCCCCCCCCCCCCCCCCCCCCCCCCCCCCCCCCCCCCCCCCCCCCCCCCCCCCCCCCCCCCCCCCCCCCCCCCCCCCCCCCCCCCCCCCCCCCCCCCCCCCCCCCCCCCCCCCCCCCCCCCCCCCCCCCCCCCCCCCCCCCCCCCCCCCCCCCCCTCCCCCCCCCCCCCCCCCCCCCCCGTGTTCTCTGCCGGCACCCCCCCCAGGAGGGGTTATGGAGATGAGGGTCTTCTACCAGAAATGAAGTAGGCAGGGCTGACGCCCTGCTGATGAATTCAGAGGTGGGTTGTCAGAGAGGTAGGTAGGTAGAATCTCACTATATTCCTGGCACATCGGCAGTTATTATTCTGTACTTACTGTGTTTGAAGAGACAAAACGTGGGAAATGTGCGTGTCATCCACAGCTCTACTGAACATGTTTTTTGCCTTGACATCCACTCTAAGTGGTGTTGTCTATTGAATGCAGTGCATTGTGAGAAGCAGCATGGAGGGAGGCCGAGCGCTCACATGTACTTCTGTGGAATGTTTGCTATTGAGAACTCCCCGTCCTATTGTGCCAAGTGTTGTATTTCCAGAAAGTTCTTCTTGGTCTTTTTAGTGACCTTTGGGGGGAAAACATGCCTTTGCTGATATTGTGCAGCTTAGTTTAGAAGTTCGGTAATTGAACGGCATTTAATTCTGTGAACGTTGTGTACTCAACACTGTAAACAGAAAATACTGGAAACAGATTGATTGCACATTAAATCACTAACCAGAATTTTTCAGAGTTCCTTCATTAGCAGCATAAAGAGAACCTGTCATCAAAATAAGCCTCCCCCCTAGCTCTTTATTTTATATTATGATTGTAAGGGGCGGAGCTGGGACATATAAAGGTGGGCGGGAGGACATCCACAATGCCAGGTGGACAGGTACTGAGCTGAGATCTGTGGCAGAGAAATCTCACTGTAGGTGTGTCTCAGACCTAGAAGAGGCCGGTAACTGACCCAGACCAACAGACTCCACTTATACGTAACTGAAATATTGCTTTTTGGCCGTAATGTGTTGGGGTGATGGGTGTCCTATTATAATCCAATGCTGGGAGTTCTCATGCAGACTGACCCTATGCCATTCATAGAATACACAATTGTACATGATGAGTGTCTTAATTTACATTACAAATCTGTCTCCCTGCACAGGCAAAGTGTATCTGTTGTCTTGCTGATTTGGCATTGAAATCCTCATTAGTCACATAGTTCTGTGTAATGATCTGTATGGAGGTCACATGACTCACCTGATGGGGTGGCCAGACCGGTTCTACTACTTGTCCATGTAATGTATCTCATTTACCTGTTACCTTCCACTCTTCCTTCCTTCCCTCTTTCAGTCTTTTGCTTCTTTTTATTCTTTCTTACTTCTTTTTATCCTTTCATACATCCCTCCTTCCCTCTATAAGTCTGTCCTTCCCTCCATCAATCTCTACATCCATTCCTCCTGCCCTCCATGTCTATGTCCATCCCGGCTTCTATCTCTACATCCATCCATCCTTCGTACCATCAATCCCTCCTTCCCTCCATCAATACATCTATCCCTCCTTCCCTCCATCCATACATCTATCCCTCCATCCATACATCTATCCCTCCATCCATACATCTATCCCTCCATCCATACATCTATCCCTCCATCCATACATCTATCCCTCCATCCATACATCTATCCCTCATCCATACATCTATCCATACATCTATCCCTCCATCCATACATCTATCCCTCCATCCATACATCTATCCCTCCATCCATACATCTATCCCTCCATCCATACATCTATCCCTCCATCCATACATCTATCCCTCCTCCCTCCCTCCATTCATCCATACATCTATCCCTCCTTCCCTCCATTCATCCATACATCCCTCCTCCCTCCTTCCCCTCCATTCATCCATACATCTATCCCTCCTTCCCTCCATTCATCCATACATCCCTCCTCCCTCCTTCCCTCCATTCATCCATACATCAATCATCTATCCCTCCTTCCCTCCATTCATCCATTACATCTATCCCTCCTTCCCTCCATTCATCCATACATCTATCCCTCCTTCCCTCCATTCATCCATACATCTATCCCTCCTTCCCTCCATCCATCCATCCATACATCTATCCCTCCTTCCCTCCATCCATCCATACATCTATCCCTCCTTCCCTCCATCCATCCATACATCTATCCCTCCTTCCCTCCATTCATCCATACATCTATCCCTCCTTCCCTCCATTCATCCATACATCTATCCCTCCTTCCCTCCATTCATCCATACATCTATCCCTCCTTCCCTCCATACCATCCATACATCTATCCCTCCTTCCCTTCATCCATACATCCATACATCTATCCCTCCTTCCCTCCATCCATACATCTATCCCTCCTTTGAAATGCTTTGAAGTTTAAAAAACCTCAAGCATTGCACCATGTGTTGACATTGCACAATAGCACGCTCCATGTGATGTGAAGGAGCCCTTAGTAATGGAAAATCTCCTTAATTGTACATAGTAGAACAAGAACAAAAACAGTCTGACAAGGTTTTATCATTCTCTAAGCCATCGAAAACTTTGAAAAACAAAATATTTTAGCTTTTGAAATACTTTCCACTTTTGCTTACCAAGGTAACCCATGACTTGCAATTAGATGCTGCCCAGGGGTGGACTGACAACTCGTGGGGCCCCCGGGCAATAGGGGATCATGGGGCCCCTGTGTCCTTGCCCAAACTCAAAAAAGCCTATGAAAAAGGTACCAGGGGCATCTCATGGGGCCCCCTACTGACCCCGGGCCCTCGGGCAGTGCCCGAGTTTCCAAATGGTCAGTCCACGCCTGATGCTGCCTTTAATTACCTAACTTGGTTGCTAATGGCAACACCTCCTCTTGTCTCTGCTACTTTCAGACCCCCCCCCCCCCCCCCCCCCCCTTCCCCCTACCATGATTTATATGTCCTTGCAGAACAAATAATGTACAGTTCTAAAGTGCATGTTCATTTATAAGGCCCTGTCAAAGTCTTTGAGTGCAAGATGTTAAATTCAACACTCAGATCCTATATTACTCCAGCGAGGTGCTGAAGCAAACGGGAGCAGTGTTGGTACACCATGTCAGTCCAAGGCATGGGGCAGAACGCAGTGGAGGAAAGCCTAGTGCTGGGCGTATTCCGGAGACTTTCGCTGTCCGGGTCGTCCTGGGCCAGGCGGGAAAGTCTGACAGCCCCGCTCGTGTCTCTCTTCAATAAAACCGTAGAGGAGAGCTCTGCCAACATCAAAGAGATTTCTGAGAACCTTTCCATTTTCCTGAGCCGTGTCTTCTCTCCAGACCCCAGGCTGTACCAGGAGTTCACCGAGCGGGGGCTCATTTCGAACAGTCAGGAGTCCGATGACGACCTGCTGGAAGACAGCGTTACCCCGGCCGAGCCACGTCCAGATGATGGCATTGTGGTGAAGAACTACCGCCCCGCCCAACTCATCTGGAGCCAGCTTCCACAGGTTGGTGTGTCTTTGTATGGTGAGTGGCTGTGGGAGGCTTTTAAAGGGGGACTACAGATGGTGCATGAATGTTTGCCCAATCTGAGAATGATTGTAGGCCTTACATGTCTATGTTGGACAACTTTCTTGGGAGGAAAGTTGGCTGAGCGGTTTGATTTTTCCTTGGGTAATCGCCATTGTTTGCTCCCCAAAAGAGGTTGGCATCCAACATGTCTAAGCATTTCCTTCCCCCTCTCCACAGGCACAAGCATGCCCATTCACCTTACCTAAATGTGCACGCTTGTCAATTGTTTTGGGTAGTGCATGCTTGGCTGACTGGCATACAGTGTCCACAGACCACCTATCAATGGTGCCAATTCCTATAAAGTTAAAGTGGCTGCCGTGGGGAAATGCAACAGAGGTGTCCTTGTACAGAGGGGAGGTCTGCTTTCCTACCTGGCTTGAAGAATCGGGGTCCCTGGGTAGAAAGTCCAATGGGTGACCACTATTTACCTCCTAAAAGAAGTTGGCATCCAGCATGTCTGAGGTTTTCGTTTAATTTCTCTGTGACAGGAGTCACTTTGAGTGGGGGGCCCATGGAACACAGCTCACTTTGGAGAGGTGGGGAGACCCCTGTCTCAGCTCCCCATATCCCTATTATGTGTAAGTCACCCTGTGCCTGTTAGGGGTGCAGGGTGATATGTCCTGATATTGTGTAGACATGTCTAGGAGATCAGTAGGGTGGGGGTTGTTGATTGTTAATGCCATGTGATTGCATCCCATTGTTCTATTGTGTGTCTTGCTTGGAAGCAAACTGTTATGGGATGTATGTGTTTGTGTGTATTGGCTTGGTAGGGGGGTGCTTCCGGCAGCCCTCCCCCCTGATGGGACTGTCTGCTGTTGTGTCTCTTGTTACTGGGTGTGGATTGCCCCGCCCTGTGTATATATCTTGTATCTGTGTTAAAATAAAGGAGTCTATTTCCTGGTTTTACTTCAAGACTGGTCTCGTCTAGTCTTGTATGGTCAGCGGTGGTGTCCGTGTTCGGACGGGGAAGCGGTATTATAAAGGAAATACCCAAGCGCAGACTGGGACAGTTCCGTTACATTCTCCATAGGCACAAACATGCCCATTCACCCTACACAACTGTACATGCTCGTTGATTGTTTGGTGGTTTGGGTTGTGCATGCTTGGCTGACTGGCATCCAGTGTGTGTAGACCGCCCAACAATTGCCAAGTCTTATAAAGTCAATGTGGCTGCCATGGGGAAATGCAGCAGAAGTATTCTTGTACACAGCTTTCCTATCTGGCTTCAAGAGTCCGAGTCCCTGCATAGAAGGTCCAGTGAGTAATCTCTATTGTTTGCCCCCCCAAAAGAGATTGGCATCCAGTGTGTTTAAGCATTTTCTTTACCTTTTCACCATAGGCACAAACATTCACCCTACACAAATGTACATGCTTGGCTGGCCACCTTCCAGTGTCTGTAGACCACCTATCAATGGCACCAATTATTAAAAAATCAAATTGGCTTCCATGGGTAAATGGATCAGAGGTGTCCCCGTACACTGAGGGGAAGTCAGCTTTCCTATTTGGCTGCAAAAGACCGGGACCCTGCGTAGAAAGTCCGATGGGTAAACGATATTGGTTGTCCTCCAAATGAGGTTGGCATCCAGTGTGGCCAAGACAGTGTTTCCTTTACCTTCTTCTTAGGCACAAACCATCATATTCAATCTACACAGTTGTACATTCTTGGCTGTCTGGCGTCCAGTGTCTGTAGATCGCCTATCAGTGGTGCCAATTCTTATAAAATTCATGTGGCTAGCGTGGATGCAGCTGATGTGTACTTGTACACATAGGGCAGGGGTAGGCAACCTGAGAGCCGCAGGACTACAAGTTCCATCATGCCTCTGCAAGTCATAGCTGTAGCTGTCAGTTTTGTAATCTTTGCAATGCCTCGTGGGAAATGTAGTTCCACAACAGCTAGAGAGCCGCAGGTTGCCTATCCCCGACATAGGGGAAGCCAACTTTCCTATCTAACACAAGAGATTGCGTCTCTATGTAGTCCAATGGGAAATCTGCCTCCATTAACTGGCAACCCAGTCAGGACTGATGAATCCCACTCAGTATGAGCTTGTTCACACTTGCAGTTGTGGGGTGAAAAAAAAACAGGCATTTGAGATGCATTTTTTTTTTACCACTCCTCCTTTAAAGTGGTGGTAAAAGGCTTTGGATTTTTTTACCGTAACCAGCTGCGGGTGACAGCTACAGGCTAAGTGATGAACCTGTATGTTGCTTGGCACCAGCGGTGTATTTACCGCGAGGCAGCAAGGTGTTTTCCTGGGGCAGTCATTTTCAGGGGTGTGGCACCACCCCCAGAAGAAGTGACACAAGTGGCAAGGATGGGGACCTAGTGAGGCACTGCCTGAGCTCCCCCAGGAGGCTGTGCGCTGCTGGAGGTTGGATGGCTGCTTCTCTCATTCCTGTTACGGTTAGTACTTGAATCGGGCGGTAGTGGCTGTGGGGGGCGCCCAATTTTGGTGTTTCCTAGGGCAGCACAAGAAATAAATACACCACTGCATAGCAACTACACCTTGGTGGATGTAGCTTGCCGCTCCTGCGACTGATGTGTCCACAGAACACAACAAATTGCGGCTGCCAGTACACGGCCCCTTTGTTGACCACGTGATCCCCTGGCCGACCAAAGATCAACAAAGCTGTTAGGAATTAATTTCATTTATAACATCCGTGATGCTGTGATTGGCCCACAGCTATCACATGGTACCTTGGCAATCACAGCATCCTGTACCATGTGATAGCTGTGGGCCAATCACACCATACAATTGTAATCATCGCTGTTCTGAATGTAACTCATTGCTGTTACAGTGATCATCACTGCAACAGCAAACCAAAGTGTCAAAAAGAACCCTGATCACCCCCCCCCCCCCTTTCTGGGGGGAAAAAAAAATGAGACAAAATTACAACTCTAAGGAATTTAGTAAGAGGCATGGCAAGTTTTCTTAGACTGTCTGCTTTCCAAAAAGAGGTCATTTGGGGGAATATTTGTACTGTCCTGGCCTCAAGAAATGAGATTGGCTGATAGTAAATCAGAATTGATCAATTTTCAGATATACAGTCTTGAAAGTATTCATACCCGTTGAAATTCCCCCATATTGTCTAGATTGTAAGCTCCCAGGATCAGGGCCCTCCTATCCCTCTTGTATTGAACTGTATTGTTGCTGTATTGTCTCCCGTTATATTGTAAAGTGCTGAGCAAACTGTTGGCGCCATAAATCCTGTATAATAATAATAATAATGTATAATAATCCTGTATAAAAATAATATAATAATAATTTTAAAAAAAAATCCCGTATTATAATAATATATAAATCCTGTATAATAATAATGTTACAATGTATTTTATCTGGATTTGATGTGATGGTTACCGACACAAAGTGGCACATAATTGTGAAGTGGAAGGAAAATGATAAATGGGGTTCACATTTTTTTTTTACAAATAAATCTGTGAAAAGTGTGGCGGCATTTGTATTCGGCCCCCCGGAGTCAATACTTTGTAGGACCCCCTTTGGCTGCATTTACAGCTGCAAGTCTTTTTGGGGATGTCTCTTTGCACATCTAGAGAGAGACATTTCTGCCGTTCTTCTTTGCAGAATCGCTCAAGCTCTGTCAGATTGGATGGAGAGCATCTGGGAACAGCAATTTTCAGGTCTTGCCACAGATTCTCCATTGGATTTCAGTCTGGACTGTGACTGGGCCATTCTAACCCATGAAGATACTTTGATCTGAACCATCCCATTGTAGCTCTGGCTGGATGTTTCGGGTCGTTGTCCTGCTGGAAGGGGAACCTCCGCCCCGGTCTCAAGTCTTTTGCAGACTCTAACAGGTTTTCTTCTAAGACTGCCCTGTATTTGGCTCCATCCATCTTCCCATCAACTCTGACCAGCTTCCCTGTCCCTGCTGAAGAAAAGAATCTCCACCACATGTTGCTGCCCCCACCATGTTTCACGGTGGGGATGGTGTGTTCAGAGTGATGTGCAGTGTTAGTTTTCTGCCACACATAGCGTTTTTGTTTTTAGGCCAAATAGTTCAATGTTGGTCTCCTCTGACCAGAGCCCCTTCTTCCACATGTTTGCTGTGTCCCCCACATGGCTTCTCAAAAACTGTAAACGGGACTTCTTATGGCTTTCCTCCAACAATGGTTTCTTCTTCTTGCCACTCTTCCATAAAGGCCAGATTTGTGGAGTGCACGACTAATAGTTGTCCTGTGGACAGATTCTCTCCCCTGAGCTGTGGATCTCTGCAGCTCCACCAGAGTTCCCATGGGCCTCTTGGCTGCGTGTCTGATGAATGCTCTCCTTGCCCAACCCGTCAGTTAAGGTGGACGGCCATGTCTTGGTAGGTTTGCAGTTGTGCCGTACTCTTTCCATCTTCGGATGATGGAATGAACAGTGCTCTGTGAGATGGTGAAAACTTGGGATGTTTTTTATAACCTATCCCTGCTTTAAACTTCTCCCACCACTTTATCCCTGACCTGTCTGGAGTGTTCCTTGGCCTTCATGATGCTGTTTGTTCACTAATGTTCTCTAACAAACCTCTGAGGGCTTCACAGAACAGCTGTATTTATACAGAGATTGCGTGACACACAGGGGGACTCTATTTACTAATTAAGTGACTTATGAAGGCAATTGTTTCCACTAGATTTTAGTTAGGGGTATCAGAGTAAAGGGGTCTTTGTACAAATGCACGCCACACTTTCCAGATATTTATTTGTAAAAAAATTTTCAAAACCATTTCTCATTTTCCTTCCACTTCACAATTATGTGCCAACTTTGTGTTGGTCTATCACAAAAAAATCCCAATCAAAATACATTTTTGGTTGTAGCACGACAAAATGTGGAAAATTCCAAGGGGTATGAATACTTTTTCAAGGCACTGTATGCCATAGTTTTGTAGACGCTATAACTTCCACACAAACCAATTAGTGTACACTTGTTAGGATTTTTATTTTCTGAAATATGTAGCAGAATACAATTTGGCTTAGATTTATTAAGATGTTTGTTTTTGTTTTGTTTTTTTTATTGAATATGTTTTATAACAGAATGTTGAAAAAAAACATTTTTTTTCAAACTGTTTTTTTTTTGTTCCTTTTTTTTTTTTTTTTTTTTTTATAAAAATAAAAACCCCAGTGGTGGACAAATACCACCAAAAGAAAGCTTTATTTGTGTGAAAAGATAATAAAAATTACAGTTTTGCATGACCTTTAAATTAGCACCATGCTGAACTTCAAAAAATGTCCAGGTCAGGAGGGGAGTAAAACCTTCTGGAGCCCAAGAGGTGAAGGCATTCTCTACATTAAGGTAAAAATACCTATTTATGTGCAGCTCCTACGCCCCCCCCCCCCCCCCAGTCCCCATAATACTTACCTGAGCCTGATCTCGATCCAGTGCTGCTCTCTCTACATGGACTCAGTGGGAGCAGCGGGAGCCATTGGCTCCTGCTGCTGTCAATCAAATCCTGTGAGGGGGGATGGGGGCTTGCTGAGCTACACTGTGTGTGTAAATAGTGGTTAGCATGTCTGCCTTGCAGTAGATGGGTCATGGGTTCGATTCCCGACCATGGCACCTCCTGCATGGAGTTTGCATGTTCTCCCTGTGCTTGTGTGGGTTTCCTCCAGGTACTCCGGTTTTCTCCCACACTCCAAAGACATGCTGGTAGGTGAATTGGATCCTGTCTAAATTGGCCCTAGTATGTGTATGTATGAATGTGAGTTAGGGACCTTAGATTGTACACCCCTTGAGGGTTAGGGACCTTAGATTGTACGCCCCTTGAGGGTTAGGGACCTTAGATTGTACGCCCCTTGAGGGTTAGGGACCTTAGATTGTACGCCCCTTGAGGGTTAGGGACCTTAGATTGTACGCCCCTTGAGGGTTAGGGACCTTAGATTGTACGCCCCTTGAGGGTTAGGGACCTTAGATTGTACGCCCCTTGAGGGTTAGGGACCTTAGATTGTACGCCCCTTGAGGGTTAGGGACCTTAGATTGTACGCCCCTTGAGGGTTAGGGACCTTAGATTGTACGCCCCTTGAGGGTTAGGGACCTTAGATTGTACGCCCCTTGAGGGTTAGGGACCTTAGATTGTACGCCCCTTGAGGGTTAGGGACCTTAGATTGTACGCCCCTTGAGGGTTAGGGACCTTAGATTGTACGCCCCTTGAGGGTTAGGGACCTTAGATTGTACGCCCCTTGAGGGTTAGGGACCTTAGATTGTACGCCCCTTGAGGGTTAGGGACGGGGGGGTTGTTTTTTAGGGGGTTTTGGGGGATGTTTTTTGTTTTTTTTGGGGGGTTGGGTTTTTTGTGTGTGTTGTGTGTTGTTTTTTTGTTTTTGTTTTTGTTTTTTCACTTTAAACTGCAAAACAGGATAACCGGGTCATACACATGCCTGAAATGATACTCCCTGTCACATTTGGCAGGCAGTATTGGCTACCATATGAAGTGAATTAGGCAATGGTGCTAACAGGGTAAAATCGGGCAGCGTGGAGGTGACCTATAAACCACTTTTCAGAGTCTTTTGTGTACTTTTAGTTTCAACACTTTTTTAAAATAAACTGATTTTTTTATTCCAGCATTCAATTTAATTTCGCACAATGCAAGTAATTAATCCATTACAAAATCCACTCCGTGCTCCCGGCATGTTTCCTTTTGTTGTTCCAGTTGTCCTTTTTCAGGCATGCAGGCAAATACATAGGAAGCATGGTTAGAATGTAGTGTGATGTATGGGGAATCATCCGGGATCCTCGGCCATGGGCTCATTACCTGCCTCTGATTTGGATCTGGTGCTGCGTATTGCTTGGTGTGTCACCTGACGTGTCGCCCATAAACCAGCCGCCTTCTGTAGACACTCGGTGACTCAGCTGGAATTGTACCTGGAATTCCCGGAGTGAGAGGAGATAAGAACCTGTGATGGAGCTAAATATTATCACAGGAAGTCTATTATGTTATTACAGGTAAACCTTTCTGTCTGCACCTGTGTAACCTGACTGAGCGTAGAAACATAAAGACTGACGGTGGAAGAAAGACCAAGTAGACCATTGAGCATGCCCAAAGTGTCAATATTTTGTGTGGCCGCCATTATTTTCCAGCACTGCCTTAACCCTCTTGGGCATGGAGGTCACCAGAGCTTCACAGGTTGCCACTGGAGTCCTCTTACACTCCTCCATGACGACATCACGGAGCTGGTGGTTGTTAGAGACCTTGCGCTCCTCCACCTTCCGTCTTCCACTCCTCCATGACGACATCACGGAGCTGGTGGATGTTAGAGACCTTGCGCTCCTCCACCTTCCATTTGAGGATGTCCCACAGATGCTCAATGTGGTTTAGGTCTGGAGACACGCTTGGCCAGTCCATCACCTTTACCCTCAGCTTCTTTAGCAAGGCAGTGGTGGTCTTGGAGGCATGTTTGGGGTCGTTCTGTTGAAATACTGCCCTGTGGCCCAGTCTCCGAAGAGAGGGGATCATGGTCGGCTTCAGTATGTCACAGTACATGTTGGCATTCATGGTCCCCTCAATGAACTGTAGCCCCCAGTGCCGGCAGCACTCATGCAGCCCCAGACTATGACACTCCCACCACCATGCTTGACTGTAGGCAAGACACACTTGTCTTTGTACTCCTCACCTGGTTGCCGCCACACACGCCTGACACCATCTGAACCCAATCAGTTGATCTTGGTGTCATCAGACCACAGGAGATGGTTCCAGTAATCCATGTCCTCAGTCTGCTTGTCTTCAGCAAACTGTTTGCGGACTTTCTTGTGCATCATCTATAGAAGAGTCTTCCTTCTGGGATGACAGCCATGCAGACCAATGTGATGCAGTGTGCGGCGTATGGTCTGAGGACTGACAGGCTGACCCCCCCACCCCTTCACCCCTCTGCAGAAATGCTGGCAGCACTCATACGTCTATTTCCCAAAGACAACCTCTGGATATGACGCTGAGCACGTGCACTCAACTTCTTTGTCCACCATGGCGATGCCTGTTCTGAGTGGAACCTGTCCTGTTACACCGCTGTATGGTCTTGGCCACCGTGCTGCAGCTCAGTTTCAGGGTCCTGGCAATCTTCTTATGGCCTCGGCCATCTTTATGTAGAGCAACTATTCTTTTTTTCAGCTCCTCAGAGAGTTCTTTGCCATGAGGTGCCATGTTGAACTTCCAGTGACCAGTATGAGAGAGTGAGAGAGATAACACCAAATGTAACCCACCCGCTCCCCATTCACACCTGAGACCTTGTAACACTAACGAGTCACATGACACCGGGGAGGGAAAATGGCTAATTGGGCCCAATTTGGACCTTGTCACTCACTTTTGTTGCCAGCAGTTTAGACATTAATGGCGGTGTGTTGAGTTATTTTGAGGGGGACAGCAAAAATTTCCATGTTATACAAGCTGTACACTGACTACGTCACATTGTAGCAAAGTGTCATTTCTTCAGTGTTGTCACATGAAAAGAGAGAATTAAAGATTTACACAAATGTGAGGGGGGGGGGCTCACTTCTGGGAGATACTGTAGGTATATATGTATATGCATGTTATTTTTATTTATTTATTTATATATTTTATTTATTAATTTTTATATATATATTTATTATTTATTTTTTCTTATAATTACACACTCATTTATTATACAATTCTCTCCTGTATTATTGTAGGTGCAGGAAGCCGGCATTCTAGACAGCATCAGCCCAGAGGAACGCAAGCGACAAGAGGTATATTTTCTGTCCATACAGGAGGCCTCGGGTGATACGTCGTCATTGTATTTTATTATTTGTCGCATTCTCCATGTGTTAGTCGTCCTTCCAGTTCTATTATTATTCTGTGACTACAGACACGCCTGACTGACTTTACAGGCAGAACTCCGGTCTTCCCTTCAGTCTTGCTCAGGTGTAGTGGCTCCTCTCCCGGACTGAAACCGCTTCCTCTGATTTCACCGCACACTGTGAGCTTCTCGCCATGTGGATTAGAAGCTGCAGAAAGTCGGACAGAGCTCCGCCTCCTTTCCTGTCTGAAAGACATCCAGCATCATCTAGCACTTTCCTCCCCAGCCTGACTGTCCCTGGCCCCACTCCTTTCATTTCAGTTCTGTCTGTACTGGAGGTTCAGTACCACATTTGGATGTTATGTGGGGGGGGGGGGGGGGGTCTGCATGCAAAAACAGCCTTCCAAAGAACAACTACTCCTGCAGCAGGGCTGTCTGATGTGGGGGTGAAGTAAAAAAAAGTCAGGGGGGGGCAGAGGATGTAAGGTCAGCCGTGCGGAGGATGGGGGTCGCTGCTGGCAGGGTGCAGGACGGGGTCGCTGCTGGCAGGGGGCAGGACGGGGGGGTCGGTGCTGGCGGGGGGCAGGACGGGGGATCGGTGCTGCTGGCGGGGGCAGGACGGGGGGTCGGGGGGCCGGGGGCAGGACGGGGTGTCGGTGCCGGCGGGGGGCAGGACGGGGTGTCGTGCGTGCCGGCGGGGGGCAGGACGGGGTTGTCAGGTGCGGTGCGGCGGGGGGCAGGACGGGGTGATCGGTGCCGGCGGGGGCAGGACGGGGTATCGGTGCCGGCAGGGGGCAGGACGGGGGGGTCGGTGCCGGCAGGGGGCAGGATGGGGGTATCTGCTGACTGGGCAGGACGGGGGTCGGTGCTGGCAGGGGGCAGGACGGGGGGGGGGTCGGTGCTGGCAGGGGGCAGGACAGGGGGTCGGTGCTGGCAGGGGCAGGACGGGGGGGTCGGTGCTGGCAGGGGGCAGGACGGGGGATCGGTGCTGGCAGGGGGCAGGACGGGGGGATCGGTGCTGGCAAGGGGCAGGACGGGGGGTCGGTGCTGGCAAGGGGCAGGATGGGGGGTCGGTGCTGGCAGGGGGCAGGACAGGGGTATCTGCTGATGGTGCAGGACGGGGGGTGGCTGCTGGCAGGGGGCAGGACGGGGGGTCGCTGCTGGCAGGGGGGCAGGCAGGACGGTGCTGGCAAGGGGCAGGACGGGGGGTCGGTGCTGGCAGGGGGCAGGACAGGGGTATCTGCTGATGGTGCAGGACGGGGGGTCGGTGCTGGCAGGGGGCAGAACTGGGGGTCGCTGCTGGCAGGGGGCAGGACGGGGGGGGTCGCTGCTGAAGGGGCAATACGGGGGGGTCGGTGCTGGCAGGGGGCAGGATGGGGGGTCGTTTCTGGCAGGGCGGGGCATAGCCCATTGTTGCACACCCCTAGATCCAGCCATGTCCTGCAGATTGATACCCATCAAGGCATTTTTGCATAACTCCTCCATCCCCTCAGGGCTGAGGGCTCTTGAGAGGAGTCCTGAGGCAAAGAGCAGTGATGTTTTTGTACAGCACCCTGCCCCTCCCTCCAGCTATGATCTGCCTGCTCTACATAGAGGATCACAGAGACCCAGTGATGACATTACTAAATCTGCAAAAAAGCTATGTAATGAAAATTTTTTTTTTTTTTTCATGTTGGCGGGTGGCGGGGAATTAAGAACAAGGGAAGGAAAAACATAAACAAAGCAAAAGTCATCATTTTAAGCACATGGGTGCCATCAGATCTGCCACTTTAATGACCATTTTATCCCCAAATCCCCTTTACACAGTTTTCACTAGATCACGGTGTCCCCATTGTAGGATTTCCCCTCTATTCCTGTTCTGGTGACAACGGTATAAATTGGAATGGTTACAAAGACCTCTCACTCTCCATTCAAAACTAAAAAAACAATCGTTTGGGATTGGGGTGATTCAAGCATAGCAATGTGTGTGCACTGAGTCACTTGGAGCTCCCTCTAGTGCAGTGGTTTCCAAAGTGTGTGGGCCAGATGTGGCTCTTTGCTTGCCTTTTATCCGGCTATTGGGCACTGTTTCATTCACCAACACCAACAATGGGGCACAGTTCCTCCCCATGACACCAACAATGGGGCCCAATGACACTGAATGATTGGGCACAGTTCCTACCGATGGCGCCAATGATTGGACACTATTCTTCCCCATGACACCAACAATGGGGCACAAAGACACCACTGGGGCACTTTTTCCCAATGACACCACTGATGGGGCACTATTCCTCCCACTGACACCACTGATGGGGCACTTTTCCTCCCACTGATACCAATGATGGGGGCACTATTCCTCCCACACTGACACCAATGATGGGGCACTATTCCTCCCACTGATACCAATGATGGGGCACTACTCTTCCCATTGACACCAATGATGGGGCCCTATTCCCCCCAATGACACCAGTGATGGGGCCCTATTCCCCCCAATGACACCAGTGATGGGGCCCTATTCCCCCCCCAATGACACCAGTGATGGGGCCACCATTCTTCCCAATGACACCAATGATGGGGCCACCATTCTTCCCAATGACACCAATGATGGGGCAACCATTCTTCACAATGACACCAGTGATGGAGCATCATTCTTCCCAATATCACCAATGATGGGGCACTATTGTTCCCAGTGACACCAATGATGGGGCACTATTGTTCCCAGTGACACCAATGATGGGGCTATTGTTGTTCCCAATGTGACACCAATGATGGGGCACTATTGTTCCCAGTGACACCAATGATGGGGCACTATTGTTCCCAGTGACACCAATGATGGGGCACTATTGTTCCCAGTGACACCAATGATGGGGCACTATTGTTCCCAGTGACACCAATGATGGGGCACTATTGTTCCCAGTGACACCAATGATGGGGCACTATTGTTCCCAGTGACACCAATGATGGGGCACTATTGTTCCCAGTGACACCAATGATGGGGCACTATTGTTCCCAGTGACACCAATGATGGGGCACTATTGTTCCCAGTGACGCCAATGATGGGGCACCATTCTTCCCAATATCACCAATGATGGGGCACCATTCTTCCCAATATCACCAATGATGGGGCACCATTCTTCCCAATATCACCAATGATGGGGCACTATTCTTCCCAGTGACACCAATGATGGGGCACTATTCTTCCCAGTGACACCAATGATGGGGCACTATTCTTCCCAGTGACACCAATGATGGGGCACTATTCTTCCCAGTGACACCAATGATGGAGGCACCATTCTTCCCAATATCACCAATGATGGGGCACCATTCTTCCCACTGGCACCAATGACGGGGCACTATTCCTCCCACTGGCACCAATGACGGGGCACTATTCCTCCCACTGACACCAATGACGGGGCACTATTCCTCCCACTGACACCAATGACGGGGAACTATTACTCCCACTGACACCAATGATGGGGCACTATTCCTCCCACTGACACCAATGACGGGGCCTCCCACTGACACTATATTTCCCCCCCATGACACCAAGGATGGGGCATTGTTTACTCCAACTGATGCTGGGACATTTTCTACTCCTGGTTGCCACATGTGGCCTCTCCAAAGTCTGAAGGATTGTAAACTGGCCCTTTGTTTTAAAAGGTTTGGAGACCCCTGCTCTAGTGTATAATCTTCAAAGCTTTTTTTTTTCCTGACACCATAACATAAATAAAGAAGAGTAAGTATGTAAAAAGAAAAAAAAAGTCCTAAAAACAAAATGTATGGAGGCATATGAAGTTCCTTCAGCTCCTCTTGTCTTCGTTGTGCAGGCCATCTTTGAAATCATCACATCGGAGTATTCCTACCAGCACAGCTTGGACATCCTCGTCCGTCTCTTCAAGAAATCCGATGAACTAAAACAGACCATCAATGGGACGGACCACCACCACCTCTTCTCCAACATCGCCGAAATACTGGAAGTCAGTAAGAGGTAATCCCTCCCTCATTGCTGCTTGGCTTCTCAGCTTTACTGAGGGCCCCATTCGAGCACTCAGGCACTGCCCGAGGGCCCGGGGTCAGTAGGGGGCCCCATGAGATGCCCCTGATACCTTTCATAGGCTTTTTTTGGGTGTGGTTTGAGTGTGGGCAAGGACTCAGGGGGGCCCATGATTTCCTATTGCCCGGGGGCCCCGTGAGTTGTCAGTCCGCCCCTGCTGAGGGCCAATAGGAATGATGGACTGAAACCAGGTGAAGCACCAACACCCCACCCCCTAGTAAAAACACTCCCAGCACACAGGTTACCCTTTGCTCGCCCCACGTTAACCCCCTTCCTGCCCAGTGCCATTAGTACCGTGACACTGCTTCCACTTTTTTTTTTTTTTTTTTTTTTTTTTTTTTTTTTTTTTTTTTAGCACTGATCACTGTATTTGGTGTCACTGGGGATGTCAGTGACACCAAGTCCCCGTTCCCCCCCAGTGTCAGAATGTCTGCCATGGTCCCGCTATAAGTCGCTGATTGCCGCTAGTTAGAAAAAAATAAATTTAAAAAATTCCAGTATCTATACCCCCATTTGTTGACGCTATAACTTCCACATAAACCAAATTCATTATTAATTTACAAGCACATATATATTTATTATTAGTTATTATACAGGTTTTATATAATTTTTATTATTATACATGATCTATATATTTTTATTATACAGGATTTATTTTTTTATTATTATTATTATTATTAACAGGATTTATATAATTATTATACAGGATATTATACACAGGATCTATATATATTATTATTTATACAGGATTTATACAGGATTTATATTTTATTATTATTATTTATATTTTTATATACAGGATTTATATTAACAGGAATTATTATTATTATACAGGATTTTAATATATTATTATAATACAGGATTTATATATTATTATTATATTATTTATAATTAATACAGGATTATATATTATTATTATTATTATACAGGATTTATTAACATTGTACAGGATTTATATATTATTATTATTTATACAGGGTTTATTATATTATATTTATTATATTATACAGGATTTATTAATTATTATTATTATACAGGATCTATATATTATTTTATTATACAGGATTTATATATTATTATTATACAGGATTTATATATTCTTATTTATTATACAGGATTTATTTATTATTATTATTATTATTATTTATTATACAGGATTTATATATTATTATATTATTGTACAGGATTTATATATTATTATACAGGATTTATTTATTAATATTATTATTATTATACAGTATTTATATATTTACAGGATTTATTTATTTATATATTAATATTAATAAATAAATCCAGGATTTATAATTATTATTATAAATCCTGTATATATAATAATAATAAGGATTTAATAAATAAATCCTGTATAATATTATTTATTATTATTATTATTATTATTATACAGGATTTATTTTATTATTATTATTATTATACAGGATTTATATTTTATTATTATTATTATTCATTATTATTATTATTATTATACAGGATTTATATATTATTATATACAGGATTTATATATTATTATTATACAGGATTATATATATTATTATTATACAGGATTTATATTTATTATTATTATTATTATTATTATTTATATATTATTATTATACAGGATTTATATATTATTATTATTATTATTATATACAGGATTTATTTATTAATATTATTATTATTATTATACAGGGATTTATATATTATTATACAGGATTTATATTTTAATATTATTATTAATTATTATTATTATTATACAGGATTTATATATATTATACAGGATTTATATATATTATTTTATTATTATACAGGATCTTATATATTTTATTATTATTATTATTATTTTACAGGATTTATATATTATTATTAGGATTATATATTATTATTATACAGGATCTATATATTATTTATTATAATACAGGATTATTCAGTATATTATATATTAAACAGGATTATTATTATTATTTTTATTATTAATTATTATTATATTATACAGGATTTATATATTATTATTATTATACAGGATTTATATATTGTTATTATTATACAGGATTTATATATTATTATTATTATTATTATACAGGAATTTATATATTATTATTATTATACAGGATTTATATATTATTATTATTATACAGGATTTTTATATTATTATTATACAGGATTTATATGGCACCAACAGTTTGCTCAGCGCTTTACAATATAATGGGAGACAACAGCAACAATACAGTTCAATACAAGAGGGATAGGAGGGCCCTGATCCTGAGAGTTTACAATCTAGGAGATTGGGATTTTTTTTTAGCAAAGACACGAAGCAGAATACATTTTGGCCTAAATTTATGACGAAAGTTAGATTTTTTTTGTTTTTTTTTTTATTATTGGACGTGTTTTATACCAAAAAAGTCAAAAAATATTTATTTTTTGCACTTTAAAAAAAAAAAAATGCAGAGGCGATAAAATACCACCGAAATAAAGCTCTTTTTGTGGGGGGAAAAAAGGACGTAAATTTTTGATTTGGGTGCGATATTGCATGACTGCGCAATTGTCCGTTAAAGTAACGCAGTGCTGTAACGCAACAAAATGGCTGGTCAGGAAGGAGGTGGGGGGGGGCAAATCCTCAGGAGGGCAAGTGAATCAATTAAAAATTATTTAAAAAATACCTAGATGAAGGTTTGATCTAGGTCTGCGTTAGTGTTTTGGTCAGGGTCCAAAGTCAAGGTAAGGGTCAGGGTTGTGTTTGTGTGTGTTTTTTTTTTTTTTTTGTTTTTGTTTTAAGCACTTTTTTCTTTTTTTTATATCCGTGTCAGTGGCAGAATTAAAAACAAAATAAAACCCCAAAAACAAATTGCGCACTATGGTTTCTGGGCCGTGCTCAGGGGCGGACTGACAACTCATGGGGCCCCGGGCAATAGGGGATCATGGGGCCCCTGTGTCCTTGCCCAAACTCAAAAAAGCCTATGAAAAAGGTACCAGGGGCATCTCATGGGGCCCCCTACTGACCCTGGGCCCTCGGGCAGTGCCCGAGTTTTTCCAAATGGTCAGTCCACCCTGGATGTGACTAATGCAGGCCATACACGGGTCGAATTCCCAACAAATTTTCTTTTGAAAACTTAGAAATTTAGTGCATTTTTGTAATCCGGTGGCACCACCATTGATTTCGAAATTCGACCAACCGAGCCTTTCATTTCACCTCGCGTTGCTACAGAAAAGGATTTTTGTGGCCGAGAATTTTCTTTTCTTTCCAGGTCGCAGCTCATTTCTTTTTCAATTTCTCCCGCAATTCTCCCATCACTGATTTTAGAAAATTCTTCTTTTTTTAAAAAAAATTTCCAATATGCCCAGTCACTCAAATTCGATGATTGCACGAAAATCGGTTGCTGCTGCGGCCCCGCTAATGGTGCGAAATTCGAATGAAATTGCTTAGAAAAGATTTTCGAAAGAAAATTCTTTGGGAATTCGATCCGTGTATGGCTGACTTTAAAGGGCCGTTTCATTTTTATTGATTTTTGTTTTTTTTTTGGCTGGGATCCCACTTTCAATGTAGGTTTTTCTTCACCAGGTTGGTTGGAGTTCCCCTTTAAATATTGGACACATTTGCGATCGAACATTCCAGCGATCAGCGTAGGTTTCACGCATATGCGCAGTCGCAGGGAAATCTCTCTTGGTCGGTGATAATGGAATCCAGACAGCTGGTTCCTTCCCAAGCAGGGCCCGGCCCAGTAAAGGCCGGGCCCCCTGGGGGGGGGGGGGGGGGTCAGGAGTCCGGAGGGGGCCCCATCACACAATGAAAGAATTAGGAGGGTAAAAGTAAACCCTCTTCATTCTCTGGCCAGGGAGGGGCGGGCTCGCTAGGCCCAATTAACCCTTAATAGGCCTCGCCTGCGATTTGGAGCCATCGCTGTACATCTGGGACATTTTTTGATTCGTGTAACTCTTGCACCCCGGTCACATCAAGCCCGACTTTGAAATCGTGCGACTTTGTGGTAAGACGTTTGTGCGACTTCATGCAGAGCTGTCTAAATTTGTCTAAAGTCGCACCTAAATTTGGAAAAGGTGGTGCAGGCAGTGCTTTTCAAATTGGTGCGACTCCTATTGAGTCGGAATCGCACCAATGTGACCGCTTCTATCAGGGGAGGACTGACCATTTGGAAACTTGGGCACTGCCCGAGGGCCCGGGGGCAGTAGGGGGCCCCATGAGATGCCCCTGGTACCTTTTACATAGGCTTTTTTGAGTTTGGGCAAAGACACAGGGGCCCCATGATCCCCTATTGCCCGGGGGCCCCATGAGTTGTCAGTCCACCCCTGGCTTCTATTGTGGACAATAGGATGGGACTTATGCGATTTTAAAATGATCAAATCGCATTAAAAACCAAAGTAACAATCCGGCGTGTTCTTGGCGCCCCCCGGTCTCAGGTGTGTTCTTGGCGCCCCCCCGGTCTCAGGTGTGTTCTTGGCGCCCCCCCCGGTTCTCAGGCGTGTTTCTTGGCGCCCCCCCCCCCCCGGTTCTCAGATGTGTTCTTGGCGCCCCCCCCCCACGGTCTCAGATGTGTTCTTGGCTCCCCCCCCGGTCTCAGATGTGTTCTTGGAGCCCCCCCCGGTCTCAGGCGTGTTCTTGGCGCCCCCCCCCCGGTCTCAGGCGTGTTCTTGGAGCCCCCCCCCCGGTCTCAGGCGTGTTCTTGGAGCCCCCCCCCCCCAGGTCTCAGGCGTGTTCTTGGCGCCCCCCCCCGGGTCTCAGGCGTGTTCTTGGAGCCCCCCCCCGGTCTCAGGCGTGTTCTTGGCGCCCCCCCCCCCGGTCTCAGGCGTGTTCTTGGCGCCCCCCCCCCACGGTCTCAGGCGTGTTCTTGGAGCCCCCCCCCGGTCTCAGGCGTGTTCTTGGCGCCCCCCCCGGTCTCAGGCGTGTTCTTGGCGCCCCCCCATCTCAGGTGTGTTCTTGGCGTCCCCTC